TACTATTTTCAAGTTCTCACCGGGAAAACTATGCTTCAAATTTCTGAAACAGGTTTTTTTCTCGTTACTTTGACATTTGTCGATTTTTGCAGCCAACCATCTGCACCGGTTATCTTGAGAGTGTTGCTGAAGAAGATACAGGATCTGTGCGCCTCAATCCCGATTCTCACTGAGGATACGGACCCTAAAGAATCCTCTAGAATTATGCATTGCATCTTGGATTTCCCGGGGCATGGTAATGTTTTAATTTCACCAACCTTTGTGGTGTATCGTTTGTTTCCTAGTTCAATTTATTTGAAACGTAAACTGCAACATAGTCTATTCGATTTATATCCTCAACATGGTTATGTGTACTTAACTTTAAAAAAAGTAGGAGCCGTCGCCTTTGCTGCAGTACGTCACAAATGTTGACGTATAAACCAGCACGTTCTTTAAAAGATACGGGAAGTTTCAGTTTCGCTCATACCTGGCCTGATATGGTCGACGTGGCTCTTGATTCCCTTAAGGTCTTAACTTTTCTTTTCACGGACTTTAACGCTAAAGTTTTGGGTTTTGCCCACCGAGCGTCTGGTATTTGACTATGGGCAATGCTTACGGGGGAGAAAAGTGCGTTTGATTATGCAGCAAGAGTTATTATCGCTGCTGCTGGTGCTGCTGCTGCTAATTGTGTGTGCGCCTAGGACGGGGATGTGACGGACCAATGCGGATGCAAATGGGGAGTGTGGTAGCGCATCTAAGCATAGGCTGACGCCGCGTCATAGACTTGCATCCAATCTCTCCTCCAGTTTGCTTAACCTTGTCCTGACATCAGGTTCAGATGAGGAAGGCGGAGAGAATGCGCGGCAAATGTCGTCCAAGTCGTCGTTCTTGCGCTCACTATGCTATGAGGCACACGATGGACACGATCGACGGTCCAACCGACAAGAGGCGCAAATTGTAATTCGGATTTCAGGTAGTCCGGGCTGCGTACCCCCATGATGGGGGTGTCCCCCGCTATGGTAGACCAACTTCAGTGGGCTAAAGTTTAATCGCCTGATAGACAAGGTGGTCGGCCAATTTTGATCAAGTTCTTGGCACTGGGCGTAGTCAATATGGTTAGTGACTGCTCATGAGATGGCACTTGTGTAGCCTGTCACACAACAAACACGTCAGTTTTAAAAATGGTAGAGGGGCTCTCACTGATCGCGTTACCGGACACACTCGTCCCGATTATGATTTGGAGTCAATTTCCACGTAACGCAATCAGTGGGCGCTTCCCTAAAGTTGTTTCATATTTTTTAAATTGCGTCCTCGGGTATTCACCTAAACAAAATAATGACGTAAATGCATTTTTTGGGATTTATTATTCACAGAGTATGTTGCCCACGGCTTCTTTCGGCCTCGTCTATAAAACCCATATTAACACCATTCCCGTATTATAAATGTCCGTTCTTCACTTACAATACCGTTGTCAACTAATCTTTGCTATGGATCGGCCTGACGATTTTCCACAAATGTGAGCATTCACTCACCCAACTACTATTAAGGCTAATCCTAGTTATTTTAATCCTTTCCACCTCTAGGTTTTCTGACTGCTATCAACGCTATATGTTCATGGGTGGGGCAGGCGCTGCCGTTGAACAAGTTCCCGCATTATCTGACATCGGATGCGGGCGTTAGAACAGAATTTTCGGCCCGATTGCGCCCACTGCAAGAGGATCTCCTATCGCAGGGGTCACATCTAGTTCACGCGTGTATTCACCTCTCCAATGCCTGCCTCGCCCTCATGGGCTGTTCGCCCCTCTGCGTGGACCTAACCTCGGATGTAGATCCCAGCCTACCGTCGGATGGTATACCCTTCTAGACAACATAATTTTCCCCTTCTATATGCTACGAAATTTATCTCCATGGTTAAATGCTGAGTAGAGGATCCCAGAACAAGTACAGTAGCTAGCCTAACTCGTTGAATGAAAGCTGAAGGGGGTAGTTTAGCGTACATTAGTTTTCTTATTTTGACTTTTTGGCTGGATTTGTTATAGCGGTTTTCCATGCCTTCGAATTTTGCCGCTTTTCTAAAAGACTCGGTATTTCTGAAAATTTCATGTTCTCTTGAAGTTTTAAATTCGTCGGTGTTCATTATTATTATTATTTTGAAACTTTGGTGCTGGTTTGCAAGTGAACATAAATCTTTCGTAAATTTCGCATAGATCGCATACTGTAGGTTGACGAGTAAGCGACGTCCCTTCTTTGCTCAGCAATTGTACTTATCGGCTTATGCTTTAAGTGACCCCACTCAGCCGAAAGGCCTTTAGAGCACAATTCTGTGTGATTGGTAGACTGCAGTTGGAGGCCCGTTGTGCTTATTGTCTATATACGTCTTTAAAATACACGGAACATCAACTTGTAGACTGTTGTTTCACATAGAACAATTCATCGTTCTTTGCAAACCTACGGTCTTAGTAATTCCTGGTTTGGCCAGTATTCACGAGGGGTACGGTCAAGGATAATTTGTATTTGGTTCGTTTGATGAATTCTAGGCTCGTACTGCGCTGTCCTTGATGGGATTTGTGTTTAGTTGTTTTCCTTTTCCTCGTAGCGAAATGCTGCCTTGAAGCCCCCTACTACTGCCTACTCTTCATTTGATCTCCTTGACAGGCTCTCTGGACCTACGTTTATAAAAGTAACATGTAGGATCTGCTTTCCTTTCACCGGTACATGCCATATGCTATACAGAGGTGTTTGCACAGATGCGTCTTCCGCGTAAAAGTCGTTGCTGTAAGCTCAGATTTACAGCACGGCTCAGAATTCGTGCAATATGCCGACATTTGCGAACGATTGATACTCACTCGCTAAACGGTATCGACTAAGTTTGAAATATTGATTAGCATGTAGCCTATTCTCAAGTCAGTTCGGTCTAAAGAGGATCCAGACTTTTTAACGAGATTCCTTCTGACCGCTAATAAAAAGTATTTTAAGAAGAACATGTTCTTTGGGATATAACAAAAAGTATGTACTGTAAAAATGGCTACTTAAGTAGTATGCATTTATCATTGATTTTGACTGTGTTTATGAATTAAAGCATATTTTACGAAAAAATCTTTCTTGTACCCGTTTGGTAGCAAGCTAAGACTTCCTTAAATTTCATACCTAAAGAAAGCGTATCCTTCGGATTTCGAAAACTTTCTAATTATGCGATTTTTTTACGATTGTGAGGTGTTCATTCATAATACGTCGTATCCGTAAATCTATTGCTGCCGCCTATAATTTATGCAGCTCTGTAAGTTTGCCCGCTTTTTGCAGATTGAACATAACCCCTGTGAGCCATATGCCACAGATCCCATATATCCGTCCCGAATGAGATTTTGTAGTGAATTACTCTGATGCGTAATTCGTCCGCGAAAGCAGGGTTATCATACATAAAAGTGAAAAGTACCACTTTTTTTTTTATTAAAACATAACCTGTAAACGCATGAATTACGTTGTGTCCTCTTTTTGGCACTTTGCAGCCGGAGCCTCCTCGTTTGAAGTTCTCGGAAAATCAATCGTGACCTTCGCCTCAAAAGCCAATCCCAAGTCAGTTCAGATGGACAACTCTGCAACCCCAGAGTAGGCATTACGCACTGCCTTTTCTTCAAAACTCCCATGCCCATGTTAAACTTTCATTTTCCAGTGAAGACCTTTGTTTAGATGCTATCACGCCATTTCGCAGCTATACTCGGTTGTTTATATTATTAGGACATTTCCAGTTCTAGGACCCCTGAGTATTCAGTCTACTTTATCAGTAATTTAGTCATCTGTTTGTCTTGAACCCAGTTCCGTGTGGGGTGGTACACCAAGCGTGAAGTCCGCAAGAAGAGTTTGCACCCAATTCGGAGGCTGAATTTTCCTTTAGAATAAAAGGGACTTGGTCTTATCAGCAGTATCCATTAATACTTACGAGAGATCCAGTTCC